TGTTGGCTCTTGTATCCTACAAAATTTTGCTAAATGCACCTTGAGCCCGTAGCACGATTTAGGGCGTTTAGGGCTAGGGTTAAATGACAGTAGGGCAATGAGCTGTTTCGGCGGCCACACGTTCTGACCTACTGAAACCCTCCGGGTGCGAAGGCGAAACAGAGAGAGAAAGAGAGAGACCGAAAGCCAGTCTACACACCGACAGACAAAGAAAGAGGCAGCCAAACTTCCCCGCTTACAAGTGCTGATCAGTGCGCGTGGACTGAGGCAAATGCTAAGAGGAAGAGCGTGATGGGCCGGCCTCGGCCATAGCGAGCGAATTTAGGCTGTACAAGGTACGTGACCTCTGCAACCTAGCGTTGTGGACTTTGAACCAAATGACTGGCAGCAAGGACAGCCTTCAGGCAAACACACACATGCGACTTCACGCTGTCTTGATGCAGCAGGCTTCTGAGTCATTCGGCCGGCAGCTTCGACTTTTGCACAGCCCGCCTGGCGCCTCTTCCGGAAACGATGACCGTAGTCTTCAGAGTCAGCCGCGAGTGCAGCGGCTGCACCAAAGCTAGGTGCACTCATTCATGTCTTCACGGCAGTCTGCACAAGAGTCTTCAATGGCCGCGTTTTGGGGTTGCTCAAGTACCTGCCAGAAACCTCGCGCTCTGGACATATGGGCGCCTGCCACATTATCCGCGGGAGACCGTCCCAGTGGCAGCATTGAACTTTGCCCGCCTCAGAGGCAAGGTTCGTCCAGACAGAAGGCAGGTGCCAGTGTTGCATGGGCTGACAGTTCAAAACCATGTGCGACTATGAGTTTCCACTCGCCAAACCCTCTTATGATTGTTGAATGATTCTGACTATACCCAGGACACCTTCATCTTCCCTTCTTCCCTCTTTCTCACTCTCTGAGTACGTGGCTGTGGCAGTGTCTGAACGAAACCATCATCGACCGCATGGAGGAGCACTTCCTCACTCGCCCTGGCTGCGGCGCGGCGTGCATCTGCTCTGGAGGCACCTGGTGCAACGGCGACTAACATGCTCCGATAACAAGCACAGTAGTCCCTAATACTTCTATGTATGCATATGAATATATACATGTATATATACACATGTGTACATCTATACACACACACACCTATATGCACCCCAGAGCCCGATTACAAGCAGTGCCTTTAACGCCCCTACCACACCAAGCTATAGAGTCATGCGCGACCTGCATTTCCCATGTGGCGTCCATCCGATCTTTGCCTGTAAGTGCACATGCATCTCTCTTTATCGCTGAACCTTTCCACATCTTTCCACCATCTGACAGTTCTACTAGCTCCGACATGTAGACATAGACCCGCCAGATTTGTTGCGCCGTGGCCGCTCTAGTCACTGTGAGAGAAGCTTCGGGTAGGTTTTTGTCTGCATGTAAAGGAGAAAAGCACAGCCGCACAGCCTCTGCATATGACAACGACCACCACCTTCACCATGGATATGATAATGGCCTAAATAAAAGTGGTGGTGAGTTAGATTGATAAGCAGAGTTCGAGCATCTGGGAAGCCAGGTCCCGAACTGCTCCGCAAAATCTTGGAATACCGGGTCTTAAAGTAGGCGCTTAACAGTGCGAGCTCTACCTTTTGAGAAGGGGCTGCTGGGTCTTCCTCGCACCCCTAGAAGCCGTCTGAAGTAAGACCTATACGCAATACATCGGTCTGCCAATCATAAACCCCATAAGCCCAATCCTGAAACTCTATAACCTTTACATACTACATACATACATATACATTTTTTAGCACTCACTCTCGACAAAGTACATACCTTTACATACATATATATATATATGTATATGTATATATACGTACGTACATGTGGATATATGTGGATTTACATCTTGAGCCCAGGGAGGGCGCGCCTTTCCACACGGCCTGAGCCTCGGCTTTCTGCGCAGCATCAGCCGCCCGCTCAGACCAGGTCATCTCCTTCACGGCTTGCTCGGCTCAGGGTTTAGACTCAAAGCCTAGGGACAAAAATCGAGAAGTGTACCAAGCCTAGGGTTTAGGGTTCCCTAAACCCTAAGCCCTAAACCCAAAACCCTAAACCGATAGGGTTTAGGGTTTCATGCAGGAGCCGTTTCAGCAGAGCTAGGAAAAAGTTTTATCGAGTCTTTTTGTATTGTAATACGGTAAGACCGGGGACTGCAGGGGGTATTGTTGTGTGTTGTTTAATCATTTCGATGTGTTGAACTCGAACCGACTCAGAACCAGGGTCAGACGAATAGTCCGGTCACCAGTAAATCATGCCCGAAGCGGTTTCGTTAGGCTTTTGGCGTGCGTAGCACGCCCATCAGTTGCAAACTTCAGAGAATAGTCCTCCCAGGACTTCTCGGGAACCGGCTCTGCAGCCTTCTCGGCCTCCGCAGCTTTTTCCTCTTCTCGCTTCATTGTCTGGTCATCCAGTCGGTCCTGGTTCGAGACCACATGGGGGGTGGTCGGGGAAACAGTCGTAGCGAGGGCCATGACAAGTTCCGGAAGGGAGGAAGGGGTCGAACTCGAGGTGTACCAGAGTAGTATGTTGTAGTGTTCAACACCTAAACCCTAAACCTAAAGTTTGTGGTTCACACAACAAGCAATAACAGCTATTTTTTGCCACCGTCCTGCAGCTTCCGCACCTTCTCCGACTCAGAGCCGCTGGACTCCGAGGAGGAGGATTTCCTCGGAGAGGAGAGGCTGTTGAAACGTGCCTGCATGCTTAAGTTGTACGAAGGCAGAACGAGTGAAAGAGAGAAGCAACATCTTCTAGCTCAGCAGACAGGTAGTTAGCGGCTCACGGATACAAGGAGCATGGGCACTGATCTAGATTCAAAGCCAGGCTAACCTTAAATTTACGCAGGATGGGGACATCTAGTAGAGACGGGAGATCGTGACAGGAGGCTCAAGAGGTCAAACGTACTTGACCGTGCTCGCTTGTGCTGCAGGCTTGGGGATCAAAATCGCGTCAAGGAGCTTCTTTTTCTTCTTTTTGGCCTTCTTGTTGGTGTCAATTCCCATGAGCCGCTGCTGGGCTTCCAAGCGGGCCTTCTCTTGGGCAGTCTTGGAGTAGGGGTCCTTCTTCTCCTTTTTCTTCTTTTTGTCCTTTTCCTGCTGAAGATGCGACATGATCAGAAAGCCAGACTTCAATCCAGGTGGTCAGCAGGTCCTTTTTCTTCTTCTTGTCCTTCTTTTTGTCCTTTTTCTTCTTGTCTTTCTTCTTGTCCTTCTTTTTCTTCTTCTTCTCTTCCGACGAGGAACTCGAGTCTGACGAGGAGGAGTCAGACATGGCTTTGGGCACGATGGGCTGAGTCGGTGCACTCAGCGGTGCATTGCCATGTTGCCCTGGTGGGCTTGGTATACTTGTCAACAACGAACCTGGGTCTATGTTGTACAGTGTCCAAGTCCTCTCGTCCTGAACTGTTGTTGTGAAATGCAACTCAGTGTGCATACATGCATACATACATACATACATACATGCATACATACATACATACATACATACATACATACATACATGCATACTACATACATACTACATACTACATGAACTCATGTGATTCATGTGCAAACATGGATATACAGATGCATATGACCCATGTATACGCACATGTATTGGTGCAACACCTTTTTGTCAGTGTGCTCAGCTTGATCACGAGCCGCAAGCCACATCCAAGTCGCCAACTTGAGGGAGAAAACGCGAAGACCCTCGAGCGTGGAGCCAGCGACAGGAAGCGTTCCAATCAGGGCGGGTTGAATTATAAAGCCATCAATCAATAAGTACAGATTGCCAAAACAATGCCAGATTGCATCAGACACTGCACACTATATTACACTATATCACAGCACGGCATCTGTTGCTCGCGGGTTGCCGAAAGGGGAGACGCACATTTCGCATCCGCGCTGTCGAAAATGTCCGACTCACTTTGGAGCCTGCCGCGGCCTCTCCCTCTGCGCTCCGACTCTCCTAATTTGGACATATTCTTGGTCTGGCTTCTTTTACACTCCAGCCTAAGCCCCCCAAATTCGAAACACAGAACCCCAAACTGTAAAGCAGGCAGACCCTTTGGCAGAAAGCCGGAGAGTTTAAAATGTTTTCGACTTCCAGCAATTGGCGAAGCCTGCTTCGGACCGCCCAAGGCCTCGGCAGCGGAGGTCAGGGCCTGCGATGACAGCAAGAGGCATCCTTACTGTTGCTGCCAAGTGTTTTAGGCGGCCGCGTCTTAGGCGCATACTTTATACTCTATTGATACCGCTATTCTTCTTCTTATTCTCATTCTCAATCTTTTGATTGCTAGTAGTAGTAATACTATCTTTGCATTTTGCGGTAGTAGTAGTAGTAGTAGTAGTAGTAGTAGTACTTAGTGGTTGTGTAGTAGTGAAAGTAGTAGTAGTAGTAGTAGTAGTAGTAGTAGTGGTAGTGGTAGTAGTAGTAGTAGTAGCAGAAATAGTAGTAGGAGGCGGAAAAGGAGGAGGACGAGGAGCAGTAGCAGTAGCAGTAGCAGTAGCAGTAGCAGTAGTAGTAGTAGTAGTAGTAGTAGTAGTAGTAGTTTTCCCTCCCGCCTGGCTAGGACGAACCTACGATGCAGGGTCTATCATAGTGGTAGTAGTGGTAGTAGTGGCAGTCGTAGCCATAGTCGTCGTCGTCTTTGTAGTAGTAGTAGTAGTAGTAGTAGTAGTAGTAGTAGTAGTGCAGGAGTAGTAGTAGTAGAGGTAGTAGTAGCAGCAATAACAGCAGTAGCAGTGGCAGTATGCGAAGCAGAAGCAGGAGCCTTAGGAGAAGCAGTAGCAGCAGCAGCAGCCCCTAGAAACTCTTGTCGTGGTACCAGCAGTGGCACACTACAGCAACGCAAGCTCTCACAGACGACACCCAACCAAAGGAATGAGTCTGATGGGGTAGAAAAATGCTAGCCCCCAAACCGTAACAGGTGACCGGACCGCATTAACTTCGCGACCCCCCTTGAGGTACGAGTAGGAGATGAGGCCAAGGCGTTCCCACTTCAGGTCGGGCTCATTTACATCGACCGGGGATCCAACCTGATACATAACATACATTACATACTTGGAGGCTCATGGGTAGTTATAACTGGGGTTATAAGTCGGGTAACTATACTTATAACCCATATTCGGGAACTATAAACCCACTTTTTAACTACCCATGAAACCTCCAAGAACCATGTCATACATATGAATAATGACATGTATATATATATATATATACATACACCATATGTATGTGGTGTACATGTATACATAGTATATATATATATACATATATATTTACATATTTATATTTATATCTATTTATTCGATGTATGTACGCACATGCTTATGTGTGTGTGCGCTTCCGTTTGGAAAACATGGTTTCTACATGCAGTATATGGTAATATAACATGACATGTTAGAATTAATGCAATGTGATGTAGCATGCTATGATCATACGATACGATATACAATAAAGTTTTCAGAATTATAATACAATAGAAAATAACTAACTGAATAGAACAATCATACCAAATTACCATGAAACGATATAACAATTATAGTGCACGATTTGATAGTACCGGGGCATGGGTCGGTGCTCGTGTTGTGTCTTCAATCTCTGGATTTAGATTTCATTTCTGGAGTTGATATGTTTTTGCGTTTGCTGTTTGGCTTATGGCGTTGAGGGGTCAGTTCACGTTAAAGTTTAGTTCAATGCTTACGCATCCTTGGTTGAATGAAGGTGTTGAGGGCTTCAGGGCCGAACATCCAACGTTATTCCAGGATGGTGGCACAGCAGGAAAGCCTAAACTAATTTCCGAGGCTCGCCTCAGACGGAACCCGAACCTACACGGGCAGAGTAGAAAGCATGAGACCGAAAAAAATCTGATGGCATGCACCTTAGTCCCCAAACCATACAGCATCGGCAAAGCCGTCAGGCATTCGGTTGTACTGCCGGCGCAGCCGAACAAACCGGCAAGGGACGTGGCTTCCAAACCCGCAACTGCGTAACCTTTCACTCCAACTTGGTCAGTCAGGAAGTGCCGTTGAGCAACCCCTCAAGTCAAGAAACATGAAACCCTAAACCCTAAACCCTAAACCCCCTAAACCCCTCAAGAAACATGCACGGCCCTTCAGTATCCTAGGATATCCTTGGCCTTGCAGAGGGCCTCTCACATTGCACAAGTACTGGCTGTTGTGTCTATTCACCAACCTAAATACAAAACTTAGGTCGAACACTGGCAGAAGGTATGGTTCAACCTCTCTTCCAGTGGGGATCCTTGTGACTGTATGGTACTGTATGATTCAAGGGAGTGTAAGATGCTTGGTACCTTTCAAGAATAAGTCTGTTCTTGCGTACACACACGGCGTCTTCGACATATCATGCAGCACTGCTGCGATAACACCGCACTCGTGCCATGAGACAGCACTTCTTGAGGATCGGTTCAAACGAAAGTGCCAGCCAGGAAGTGCTTCGCAGTTTCAGGCAGGCCAGGGCGTGTGTTAGATGCTGATCGTTGTTGGGAGCTGCTGTGCCAGGGCCGTGCGGTGACAGCGCAGTGAAGGTAAAGTGACAGAAGTGGTTCTATTTTTCAATTCTGTTAAGACCAGCACTCCAAACCAGGCCCCCGACCAAAATCTCAAAGAGCTTAGAGCTTGAAGCCCCTCTGAGCCTTGCCAGCCCCACCCGAGATGGCCTCCTCGTCACCCTCACCGGCCTGCATCGAGCCGGCTCAGTTCCGCACAGCTCTGGTATGTTTGTGCATGTGTGTCAGAGCAGGGAGAAGCACGGCCGTGCTGCCAAAATCCCGGTCGCTGCTCTGGCATGAGATGAGCACGTCACATCTGCAAGGGCAGCTGTTAGGACTTGACTTTTTCGTCCTGAAAGGAAAGTGCCAAGCCGGACTGGAAGCGCCTCGCCACTGGGAGCGGCAGCTTTCTTCTCCTGCCAAAGATTCATCTATGTGATTCGGTTTACGTGTCGGGTCCCTGTGAAATCATGACCATGAACTCCTAACAAAGAGCCACGTTCCAAAACAAATTCTAGGATCAGATCGGAACATCCGGAACCTGCATGGGAGAGAACATAGGAACCATGAAGCTCAACCTGGACAGCTGATCTGCACACCCATGGGGCTGAGGGAATGAATGAAATAGGGGGGGGGGGGGCGAAGGGTCAGGAATCTTACCCTAAGGGTCCATGTACCCAAGTAGTATATACTTTGGCCTTAAAGTAGTCCCTGCAAATGTACTTTGGGGCCAAAGTATGTACTATTTGGGCACATGGACCCCTAGGGTGACTGTAAAACAACTCGAAACCAGGGATCAACGTCGGTATGCTTTGGCTCCCCCTCCATAAACCCTAAACCCTAAACCCCTAAACCCTAAACCCTAAGCCCTAAAGCCCTAAAGCCCTAAACCCTAAACCCTCACGGAAGCAGCTCCTGGTCATTCTGCTCCTTGCTCTGCACCGCCGGCGAGCTCCTTGGTATGCGGAGCACTGCTTCGCGTCTCGGTCTCAGCACTTCTACATCGCATCTCACAAAACAGGTACCGCTCCATCGAAGGACACCTCTGGTAATCTCTGGCTAACTTTAAGCTTGAAACTTGTGACTTTCCACAGGCCTTTAGACAGACTTTTGAGGTGGAAACTTGAAACTTGTGAACTCCTGCAATGCTATCAGCCGGAGGCCTTTAGGCATATTTGGAGCAGGTCCCTCTGGGACAACCCACCTTGCAAGGCAACCGAAGGCAAGAGTCAAAACAGCCCGTCCGCGCACCACGATAATGACTCCACCATTATCCATGGCCTTGCCTGAAAGCCCTCAAGCCAGATAGATGGCCCAAATCCCACCGTGGCAATCCCTCAAAAGGGTCGGCTGGGGCCCGATACGTGGCGCTGTCCTCTCCGTTCGGCTCTGTCGCCTGCGAATCGAGTCAATTCGCCACTGCTGGCCGCAGAGGTCGTGGAAGTGACATAACCCCCCCAGCACCAAGGCTGATCGCATCATGATTCCGCAATTGCCGGAACGTCGCTTCATTCATGTGCGAGGATAGCGTCAGCATCTGCTTCCCATCACTCCAACATACTCCTACCTTCACCCATCTAGGTTCCATCACTTTTTCATCCCCCAGGAGCACACGTTTATGTTTTGAACACTCTGCCTTCGTACACCGCGCAAGCAATATCGGTCAGGCCGTTCACGCCCGACCGTCAAGCAGCATGCTCTCGAGTACAATCCGGGCGGGGCAGTTCTGTCTAGCCAGTCCGCTCAAAGGCAGGGCTCAAGAGGCCAAACCATCGACAGCTTGCAAATGTGGCAGCCTCATCTTCCTTGGATCTCGCCGGCTCCTCGCCCCGTCCCGAGAGTTTCTGAAGCCCTAACTTCCTTATGATGTGCTTCCTTGCTGAGAGCTTACATTCTTCTAGGCTTCGGGGCACCTAAGGCTTCAAGAGGATGAAATCTGAAAGGGGCACTGCAAAGACTCAGTGAGCCCGAAATTAATGGTTTATATGGAAGCGGCTCTGGGACCTATTTCGCCGCAACTACGGTATTGAGAGAAATCTGCCGGCAGGGTGCTTATATAATTTATTAAACACGGAGCAGCCAATATCTTAGGTCGGCTTGCCTGGGCGGCCACGAAGGACAGTACCGTCGCAGTAGCGCCAGAGTTTTGATGTATGGATGTTACGATAATCACAAGAGCGGTTATGGATTTGTATGTTGCAGTCCCTGCAGTTACCAGATTGGGTGGCTGACGGGGGGCCTTAAGCTCGAACGTCTGCGCATGCAGACCAACATCTGAAACAAACGAGCCAAATCACTGATGTTCGAGAGCAATATGCATATGGACTTATGTAGTAATGACATGCCATTCGGCTATTGATGGCTGTTGACATGTGGGTAGTTCCCTTATAAATTAGGATCATGTGCTCCTCTGCGGATTCTTCTTCGGCAGCTGTCTTCTCGCCTGAGAAGGTGCGCGCAAGGGCTGCAGGACGTGCTTAAAGAGTCATTCACGGCCCCATGCGGGCAACGAGACGGTCCGACGGCTCAGGTGTACCAGGGCCCCAATGTCTTGTCGGTTTCATCTAGCCGAAACCCAATCTCACAATCCACAAGGGTCTGGGCGCCTTTCTCTGCCTTCGCCGCAGGGGAGGCCTGCCGGCAGAGAAGGCAAAGGAGTACAGGGCTCCAACCCGCGACATCCGTGACAGTGATAAACATTCAAGGCAATAGCAATATGAATGCCAATGGATGATGATGGTGATGATGTCAGCGGTAGCATGGGCACTTTATCTTCTGCCTAAATCCTTCACATGTGTGTACTGCTCATTTGGTTTTCTTGTCTTGGAGTCTTGGAAAGCAGCAGCGCACTCATCATTGCTACTCACAATTAGAACAGATGGAGGTATGATTGGCAGGTTCTGGATCCAGCGCCGTCGCGCTGTTCTTACAGAGTTGTCAATGTCAGATTCGCCATACTTAGTTTGTTGTGGCCAGGCTGCGTGCTTTATCGTGTCGATGAGGCTAACCAGCTCTGGACACACCCTAATCATAATCCCAAGCAGCATGACAGTTCCCTCGATTTTTGCAAGACAGCTGCGCATGATTTGGATGCGCCTTTCCGCCGCCTTCCTCTCCTTCATCCTTCCAGGCAGGCAGGGTCCCGCGTTCTTGTTTACAGCTTGTAGTAGACTGACTTACCTAGGTTTGAGGGCTTCAAGAAGGTCGTGGGCGATTTGGGATCTTTCGGGGGGGGGGGGCGTCCTCCCCCTCGGAAGTTGCAGACTTGTCGTCTTCCGCTGCTTGTCCTTCCGCCTTGGTCAAATGAATCTCACAGGGTCCAAGTACCCAAATAGTAGGGTTTTAGGTTCCAAATCCCATATTCTGAATGGTTTTAACACCTGAAACCCTACTATTTGAGTACCTGGACCCTTATTTAAGGGCGAACGACAGCATGGGTGCTTGGGCTAAGTTCGGCTTCCGTCCTGAGTGAGTCCCCACGATGAAATATCGTTCATGTCGGTCCTTGACCCTTCGGAGAGTCTAAAGGGCCTCGAAGTTTGAGAACCCCCCCCCTAATGCGCCTTTTGCAAAAAGCATAACAACATACCCTCAAAGCCCATTCAGACTAATGGCTAGGCTCCAGCTACGCATCGGGGAGCAGGGGTAAAGCTGTCACATGATCCAGACAACGGCTCTCTCATCTTCGTGACATTTCCGGGTTCCTGGCGCTCTCAGGCTGGGAAAGATGAACCCTGAACTGAAGACCTTTGACTTCCCTAGGAGTGAAGAGTTCAGGATTAGGGTGGGCCACAATCTTGGTAGAAGTGCTGTAGCACGGGGAGGAGTTTTCGAACAACGCTGTTTACATGCAGGAGTATATAGTATGTACATCGATGCGAAGTGCCTTCTCATCTTTCTCCTCTGTCTTGTCAGCCTCGCAGCCGCGACAAAAACACGCGCCACACGACTAGTTCTGCTCCATGAGAGAGACTGCACAAGGAGGGTCAGATCGCCCGTGCAATAGTGTGCTGCACCAAAGCTTAGGCTTTGAATCCGGTCCGGATGCTTACAAACAGGCAGCTAGTGAAAGTGAAACCAATGCTGGGAGGCTGGAGACTTGTAGTCAGATGTAGATATAACTCTCACAAGAACCAGCCCAACGCTCTCCATGCAGCCTACCCTTCCCACACCCTTCCCACCTTGTCGGGATGCAGCGCTAGGCGCTGTATGGGTGGCGTTAAGTTGGGTCTGGCTGAGGGGCATTCTCGTGGCTTGACTATATGGCCGGATAGACTCTGGCCTGTGCTCTGAGCTTGGCCAACACCGAGTCCCCATCAGAGGCCTCAGCAGGCCAACGGAGAGGGATTGGGGAGGCAGACTAGTCAGGATTATGAGATCATTATTGGAAGCTACGAGCTAACCCCAGCGTACGACCTTGGACCATTGTAACTTGATTCTGCTCTTCGGCATAGCGGCATACCGAATTATTCTGGTATTGTGATGATTGCATTGACGACCCGGAAACTGGACAAATGGTGGTGGCATTACAATCTAACTACATTACACACTCTGGTGGTAATGTCGTCCGGACAGGCTGGAATCATGCTACATGCCCAAACAAATTTAACCTTTTCAATTATAGTAGGATTATATGAGCCCCAAAAGGCTAAAGCGGTTAAAGGTTATCTACTCAGCTACTAAGTCATAGTGTATAAGAGGCTCAGGTCAAGCAAGCCAGGAGGTTCCCAAGCCTGGGCCCTTCTCATGCAAAGCCTCGAGCCACAGGCACAAAAAGGGAGGTTCATGGGTAGTTACAAGTGGGGTTATAAGTAGGGTAGCTATACTTATAACCCATACTAGGGGACATATATCCCCACTTATAACTACCCATGAACCCTAAACCCTAAACCCTATAGAACCCTTTAAAGGAGCCTTCTATCCCCACTTATAACTGCCCATGAACCTCCAAGCAAGGAATCCCAAACCGGAGACCGGGCTACGCGCCTTCACTTCCAGGCGAGTCGAGGCCTGAAACCACAGGAACCACCTATAGTCTCCATTGTAGTTCCTTTTTGGGGATACCTTATAAAAATCCTTATATTATATTATATATTGGTTAAACCAAATAAGGAACTACAATGGAGGCTATAGGCATGGGCTTGTAGGATTTAACAAGGGGGAAGACTTCGGGAGGGGGACGTCAGCAGCAACAACACATCGCTGCAGACACCTTGAAAAAGCCTCTGTAAACCTGCGCCGAGCGAATCTTCTGCGTTGTTGAAACACATGGCTTCTAGACAGGAGTGTGGGGTTTTGCGCTTTGGGGGCTGGGAAGCTTGAGGGATTGCATCTTTGGCCCATCTGAATGCGAAAGGGTGTGGAAGGCATCACGCCTGGCACTCCGATCTCGAAACTACACGGTCGGCCAGACTCTCTCGGCCTTGCCGCACCAAAGATACCATGTGCTTAAGCCCTGACAGCCAGAACTCAAAAACCATGAAGCTCGCAATGCAGACAAAATCGGAAAATGACATGTATCCCTCCCTCCCTTCCTTGACGGCCGCTACTGGAACAAGTGAGCCGACACCCCAAGGTTGCCTCTTTCGTTTCGCCTTCTCCCTCGCCTTCCTCGGACCACGGAGCTGCACAGGATCAATTGGGGCAACGGACGACCCTATGCCCTGGACCAAAGGCGGCTACTTGCAGATGCAGTCTGAACCGCAAGTGACGCGCCGAACCGTCACAAGAACAGCACTCGCAGGGGCCGTTTCGGAAGGGAATGACAGGAACCCACAGAGTCGGCCGAATGAGAAGCGAGCTGTCAAGCCAGCTTGCATCGCCTGAGCACACGGAAGGAAGCTCTGACGCTTTCAAAAATCCCTGTCAATACCTGTAGTCTCCATTGTAGTTCCTTTTTTGGTTTAACCAAAAAATATAACAAGGATTTTATAAGGTATCCCCAAAAAGAAACTACAATGGAGACTATAGGTAGGAACTTAAGACGCTGTTGAAAGTCTTTTGGGGACCAGGGTGGGGATTGAGAGCCCGAAGGACTCAGACTCAGCAATTTGAGGCCTCCTGGTGCCGATGGCCATATCCAGCCAGTTCGTAAGTTAACCGACAAGCGGAGTTCGGGGGCGGTGTCTCAAAGGGAAGAAGCGGTATCGGTGGTATCGCCTTGCGATTTCACAACAGCTCATTTGGGTTTAGGCTCTTGGACCACCCGGCTCCTCAGGACGGGTTTCGGCTTTAGGGTGGCTTTAGGGTTTCATTGGATTCATGGTGCCAGGCACTTTGCTCGTTGCACCAACGCGTGCGGTTTCAGTGTTGACGGACCTTGCGCTGCAGAATGACGATCGACCGACTGACCTTCTAGAGCTCTAGAGAAGAACAGCGTTACCACAGTTGCAAGACACAGGCACAACACCACGTGACTAGTAAAAACACGGAGCACTCAACGTATTTTTAGTCATGCATCACGTGCCCGTTCCTATGCGATGGATTGCTACATACTCGTGGAAGCAGACCTGCGATTCTCACAGGCCTTACACCTACAGCCTACAGACCCAAAACACTAACAACTCCCCCCCTCCCCCTCCAACACAAAAAACAAACAGAAGCAACAACAACTCTGGGCCACCGGCTCTAAAGCGCTCCAAGCGGCGTCGTTGCTTCTCGCCTTTAGGCTGGGTTCCGGGTGGTCAGAAGGGCTTGTCAGGGTATCGCTTGCGTCCTTGCGTCTAGACTTGCCATAAGGTGTTGAATAGGGTCTTGTCATGTAATTGGTGGGTCTTATAAGGTTGCGTTGAAAACCTTCAGAATTCTTGCTGGTACAAGTGGCTCCAAGCCATTTGGAGACGTGGTGTAAGAAGTTAGAAGGGAAACTGTGCAATTTTGGAATCCCTCTCTGGCTTTCAGTTTTTGTACTCAAAGGTATAAGGCGGTGCGGCTGAAAGCGGTTGGTCCTAAAACATATCTGAGCCGGGGGACGCTGCTCATCGGTCACCTCCTCAAAAGCAGTCTCCATCGTGGGCCTGATCAAAAACAAGCTGCTTCTATCTGCTTCTCGTCTTTGAAGGTTGCTGTGGCCCAGTCCCGAATGGCCACTGCCAACCCCAAACGATAATAAAGATCGCAGATCCTTCGCCAGTTACGGCTTGATAACGTCCTCCTGCGCTAGAAGGCGTGGAAAGTTCTTTTCGTGCGGCACCCCGTGGCAGCAGTAGCACCTCTGCCACTGACAAACCCCATTGTTGACTGTAGGTATGCACCAACCTCACAACATTGACAGTGACTGGCCATCTGACCTGTAAATTATCATAACCGTGAATTGGGCCAAGGTTTATGCGAAGGTTCATCTCAAAACCCGGCCAAACAAAAAGCCACAAGGAAACCAAGCCCGGCCCCTAAACCTTAGCAGCCCCGCCCCCCTCTCTCTCAATGTCTCTCTCTCACCCGGGCATTCGAAACGTCAAGCCTGACTGAAGCGCTACACTTGCAGTCCTATGTGAAACCAACAATGGAAACGACAACCTGGCCCTAACCCTCCAGGTACCTACTAATTATATAGGGCCCTAGGGGCTCTAGTACCATATATAGTAGGTACCTGGGAAGTTACATAGGGTGGTACAACCATGTGTTGCCTCCCGTCGAAGCCGCCGCGCAAGAAGTTTGTAAAACCTTGAACCCTCTGCCTCTCTGAGCCCGAGCTCCTCGAATCTCCCCGAAGCATTGGGAATCTGGCGGCTCCGGAGGGGTGCTGTTGGCGAGCGCCAGGATCGGCCCGGAAGTCTCTGCCACGATTTCCTGCGCAGCTTGGTTTGGGTTCAGGGTTTCCGCTCTCATGCTCTGCCTTCGCAGATTGACGGCTTAGAGATTCGGCACTCACACTCGGACAATCCAAGAGGGGTTAGGCGAACTGCTTGGAATTGCAATTGGTAGAGTTTTGTGGACTGGTCTGCATAGAAAACTATACCGGCTGATAGTAATTGCAATCGTGATATTATCGTGATAGCAGAAATCAACAGCAGCTGTGCTACGTAGTAATCTTCGAAGCCATCCGAGTCGTATAACCGTCGCTGTCGCCGTTAGTGTTGACTGAATGCTTGTCCGAATGCGAGTTACACGCCCACCATTGATTTGGGAATGCCTCGTTGCTACAAGCTAACTCCTTGATGTTTACAGTACCAGTGCCTTTGCACCCTATGCCCTCTTTTGCACATACTGTATTAAGGACGGAAAACCAAAATGCCATAAACAATCACAAGGATTTCTAAGATACCTATAGTATCCATTGGAGTTCCTTTTCTGGTTTAACCACATATATATATATATATATATATTAACGGTTTTATAAGTTATCCCCAAAAAGGAACTACAATGGACACTAGAGGTAGTATGGGAAACCGGCTCTGAGGGAGCCCTGAAGATGCGTCGAGGGGCCAGGTCGCCGCTACTGGAACTGCCGATCTCGAGGAGGCCTCTGGGGATATGGGTGGTTGTCAAAATTATGGTCCTTTTTTGGGTCCTTATCAAAATACGGCACCTATTATTTAGGGTACCCCCAAAGGGACCATAATTATGACAACTACCCATATGCGTTTGAGGCCTCTGTGGTTTTGGAAGGGTTTAGGCTTCTGTTGCATCCAGTGCCACCATGATCTACGGGTTTAGGGGGGTGAGGAGGTAGGGTATGTAGAGATTAGGAATTCGGGCTTGGGGTTTGAAGGTTAGGGCTTATAGGGCCAAGGGATTAGGGTTTCACTGCTTTGGGTCTGGGGAATCGTTTTTGTTTAGTGTAGGAACATTGGGTTTGTAGTCGCACTCGGGGCAGACAAGCCATGACCGCTACGACGATCTGAGATTTGGGTCTGGGGCGAGAAAGGGGCCTTAATCTAACTAGACTATCGAGCGGAGTTGACTCCCGTGTGCTGGGGGCTGGGCAGTCGCCGTCCTTCCTGCACAGCGGACAAGATCTCTGCTCATGCATGCCATGGCTGACATGCACCTCATGTTTGACGGGCTCTGGGGCACAAGAACTGGTTTTAAACACCAGAATCAAGACTCCGTAGACCCTCGCGGTATCGAAGAACCGCCAAGCTCCGAGGTCCATGAGGGACCCGGCAGCCTGTGATGTTTTTGGCATAGGTGTGCCCGGTGTGCCAGCCATGCCCTCGGATGACACCCCATGCCAAACCACTGCAAGGGCTCCTCTTCTTCTTCTTTTCCTGGGCCTTCTTCTTTTTCTTCACCTGAAGCCCTAAACCCTAAACCCTAAACCCTAAAATAAGGTCATCCAACCTCCAACATATCCCAACATAGGGCACTGAAGCCGTAACTTTCTGACAGGAACCTCCTTCTTCTTTTTCTTCCTGCGCCGACTTCGCGACTCGTCCGAGGACGAAGAGTAGCTGTAGGACTCCTCAAAGCTAAAGGGGCGAAACTCCGAACCTGGGGCTCATGGCCCTAAACCCTAAACCCCAAAACCCTAAACCCTGAAACTCTTAACCTTGCAGCATGAACTGTAACAAAGATGGGTCTCTTGAAACCTTTCGCATTCGTTTGCATCTCTGGCTGGGAACATGGATTCTCGAAGATAGAAGGCTGGGGCTTCGGTTTGCGCTAATACCAGCTCTTGACTAGAATCAAGGCTTCAAGAGTCAGGAACTGAAGAGGAGGGAGACAAGCTTTGCTTGGCACATCTTAAGCGACGATACAGGCTTTCCTAACCCTAGGTTTGATTCAACTCATTGTCGTAGCAAGTATAAGTAGACCCCAACACAAGAGCATGAAGCCCTTTGTACTCCAAGCCCTGAAGTACATGCCGTGCAGCTATGTGGCCTCTCAACGTTGATTAATAATATCTTACCCGGTGTAGATTTTATCCGGGTTCCCTACAGACCCGAAGTATATCAAAGGTCCTCCTCGCGCTTCTTTTTGGCTTTGGTCTTTCGTGCCTTCTCTTTCTTGGCCTCTTAAGTTGATGTTCGGTTCGGCTGTGAGGGATGTGAATTTTCGGATTGTGCGTAATGGCTTCACTCGCCTGAAGCACGTAGGGTCTGACTGGTTAACACTCCAAAATTCTGTCTCAAACAAAAAGATCGTCTACTTTCCCCATCGTTCTCCTTTAGCTAGCTGCTGCTCCCGCGTCTGACGCGTCACTAATGCCCCTGCAGTCCAAACAGGCATGCACCTGTTCATTTATCAAGCAACCAAACCATCAGTCAATGGCTGGGGCCTTCTCTTTGTCTTTTTCTCTTTCCTTCTCCTTCTCTTTCTCCTTTCTGCGTTCCTTTTCCTTCTCCTTCCGTCGTTCCTGACGATCTGCTCAAGCAAGCACATCACACATTGAGGTCCAAGACAACGCAGGCGACACATTACTTTGTCATAAGACCAACTGCATCTGTATGCATGTCGGCGGCTGGCCGACTCTCAATTGAGCTCGTCGTTGCCATATCGACCGCAGACTTGACTTCGGCTTGCCGTGGATTTGCCGCAGTGGGTGAGAGGACCCTCCAGAAATGGTACTGTATGTCGAAGTACCTCCACCACAAAATCATCACCATCACCATCACCACCAGCAGCAACAACACGTGCTCCTGCTCCTCCTCCTGCCACTACGAGTGCTACTGCTGCCACAACAACTACTACTACCACTACTATATGCTACTACAACTGCACCACCACCACCACCGCCACCACCCCCACCCCCACCCCCCCACCGCCACCACCACCACGACGACCACCACCACCATCAACAACAGCAGCGTCATCAGCAACATCGAAGAGCGGCGGCAGCAGCAGCAGCAGCAGCAGCAGCCCCACCAAAACCAGAAAGCACGCTGACAAGTCTGCGCCGTTGTTGGAAGAGTAATTTCTGGCGGTTTGCAAAGACATCGCGAAACATCCCTCTGCAGTCCTTCTCCTTGTCTCTCTCCGCTTCCTTCGCATCATCCCGGTTGTCCTTCTCAGCCTGGCACTTGTGTCAGCCGCACGGCACAGGACGCTGACACCAAACCCACGAAGTAGACTGGATTTGCGATTGCTCTGTTTTTGGTGAGAGTTGAAGGCCAGGTCAGCACGAGATTCGGCTTGAGCTTCGACAACAACACCCGAAGACAAAAACCGAAACAAACACAGCATCAAAACAAGCACACACACACACACACACACACACGATGACGGCATGTTATCCACAGTCCCTAAATGTGACATGTAATTTGTTCGACCCATCTGAATCTAGTACCACCCAAGAAAAATGGCCGTTGTGCACAACGTTAGCTCTTGGATGCGTAGTCCCTAAACCTAAACGCGAAGGCCTCGTTGTCGGACTCATCACGCTTGGCCTGGGCAGGGAGCTTCGAGGAAGCACCGATACTTACCTGCTTCGCGATTGCGATTAAACCACGCGCTGTGAAGGTTGCTTTGCCCAAACGGTTCGTGACTGAATTGGACGTCTGATCCTCCGCCGGCCAAGCTCCTCAAACAAAAAGTTCGGAAAGCAACTCGGAAGCCGAAACCTGAAGCCCCGAAGACGAACTACAGAAGAAGGGAGAAAGCGACTAGCTATGCCTTTGGTCTAGCTCCCCGGGGTGTGATGGTGATCGGAGCGAGGAGCAAGAACATCGGGAGCAAGGAATACTGGGGTCCTGCTGCTGCATGATCCTGGGCATCGCACGACGGTCGACCACTGCCACCTCAGTGCCCCGGCGCCCCCACCTCAACTCTCAAACTCACCCCCTCGACTCCTACACCCTAGATTCCTAGATAGGAGTTTACCAAAATAGGGCAAAGAGACCCTCTAGTTTGCTGACCCTCCTAGCCTGTGCTTCTCGGACCGTTGTGTCGACTCGATCCTCAGGGTTTAGGGTTTAGGGCCTGCATCAAGTAAGATCTACCGGGCATCGCAGTAAGAAGGAAAGGGTCAGCAGATTTAGCTAAGATTAGACGAGCTAAGGAAACTGCTGAGCCTAGACAGAGCTTAAGAGGTTCAAAACAGCATTGATTTCGACTCTCACTCTCGCGAGCAGCAGGCAAGGCTCCACACAGCATTGATTTATCTTTACATGACAACATCTTTTGGCTTACACTGTTGCTTGTTTACGCTTTCTTTCTGGCACCGGTCTGCTGAAATCGAAGCAGTAGGGCCCGGGGCGGGGGGGCGTGCAGATGGTCTCCCATTTACCCAGGCTCAGGCACACAAGCAAACGTGTGGTTGCAAAATACTCGGCAAAGGAATCTCAGGGGATGCATCGAAACGCTGAGCCCTAACACGATGGCATGCGAGGGCCCCTCATGACGAACGGCGCCTGGGACACTCATTTCTCGATTTGTGGATGCCAAAAGAAAGGCCCCAAACGAAGCACTCAGCCGAAACTCCCAAACCCAACAAAACCTATCACGCTGAACCCCACATCTTCACGCCAACCCTGAACCCTCTAAACTAGCCCTAACCCTCCAGGTACCTACTATATATGGTACTAGAGCCCCTAGGGCCTTATATAGTAGGTACCTGGAGGGTTAGGGTAGGGCTTCGACTCTCACACTCGCACAAGGCCAGCAAGGCTCGGGGGCAAGGCTCAGGGTTAGTATGTCTAGGGTTTAGGGTTTAGGGTCTAGGCCCCTAAATTCCAGTGCCCTACACCCTGAACACCGTGACTGTCGCAAAGAGTTTCGAAACTGAGTTCCGCGGCTCGCCCTTGCCCTTGCCTCGGGTAGAGTTTTCGGGTTCGGGACGGCTTCGGGTCGAGGGTGGGGTAAGGCGTAAAATAACGGTTTGTTTTTGCCTCCTACTTCGCGGGGAACAAGGCTGCATGGCAACCAAGAGCTTCCAGAGTTTAGGGTTGCCGTCGGGACGGGCATAGGATTGGGTTTAAGGTGCAGGGTTCAATCGGAGAAACTGGGTATTCTGGAGGCCGAAGATCTCGGCGGAGAACTAGTGGCGTGTTGGCAAAGGGGACGAAGTTTTTCCTGCCGTATCTCGCATTGATGGAGCATTGCCGTCGAGTTGAATTGCAGCCTAGCAGGGTCTCGGGTTTCGGGCCATTCAAGCTCCTGAGAGCCGAACTGGTGCATAATAACTTTGATAATTTAGGGCCTTAAAAATTAGAATGGGGTTTGGGGGGGTAGATTATACTATATGATAAGGAACCATCAAGATAGTATTGGAAATTATTTAGGCCCCTATGTCAGAACCCACATCATCTGAGACTGTTCTCTAGAAGCTCTGGATTTCAAGAGTCAGAGATCCCAAAGCGCTGAGTGCCAGTCTGGAAGCCTGGCCCTTGCCAGCAGCATCAGCCTAAGCTTGGAGTGTGCCGTTGGAGTAAGCATGATGGAGAGTCTATGTTCAATTAGGTTTGGAGGGGACTTTGCCCCAGTCATTGCAAGGAACCATCTACAACTAACACGTTTTAACCTGGACCCGAACTGTTACGTCAAAATCACCCGGAGTTGTGCGCGCAAGTTCGAGATTTGTGGCATGTGAGATCTGGGGAGGCTTTGATTGCCACATCTACACGGGTACTTAAAGGATCATGGGACTTAGTAAGTAGGGTTATGATTAGGGTAACTATACTTATAACCCCAATTAAGGGGCTTATAACCTTATTTACTAAGTACCATGATCCTCCAAGTATTGTCTCAAAGTCCCAGTCTGCGAACCCTACGTTCGAGCCTTCGGTGTCACAGAAGCTCACCCGATGTTCCTGTGGGAGACCAGCTGTAGCTTAGCCACGTCTGCCCTGCATATCTGAGCATTCATACGTAGAGGCATGAAGACAGCGCATCTGTAGCTGGATTTCTGTCCATCTGTGCATGCATGTTCCGACATGCCGTCTCATCCGAAGAAACATCTATCACTTCCTCCTCTCAGCAACTAGGTACCTGATACGTCCGTGTCAAGCAAGCCTCTGGAAGACCACACGCCTCTGGGCACGGGCCTAGCCTTGTGAAGGGAGCCAGGCAGGCGAGTTAGGCTTGCGGTCTCGGGTCTTATGTATCGTCCTTGCAAAGGTCAAAACATCCCAACGGTAAACGTTTGAAACGGGTTAAGGATTGTGTGGTGTCTTTTCAAGCAGCACTCGGTGCACGGTGGTATGTTCAAGGTTCTAGTTTACAACTCAAAGGATCTGGCAGCAAGATGAAAAAGTGGCATGTG